AGGTGTGTGGGATACTATGGTGTATGAGGTATAGAGTAAGGTGTAGGCTAGCTAAGGTAGGGTATAGGCTGTATGGAGTAGGATTGGAAGCTAGGGGTTCTAGGGTATATGAAGCTAGGAATTCTACGATGTATGGGATTGGGACTTGAGAATCCTAAGGGAGTTGGAATTTTTGGGGTTCTAGGGAGTGAAGGGTTCCTAGGGGTATTTTCTCTCTCTAAGAAACATTTCTCTCTCCTCCCATCTTAAGTCTTGAATTTGAAAGAAAAGCAAAAGAACAAGCCTAAGCTCTTAGAATTATTAAGTTTTTCTATTTAATTTCCAACACTCTCAAGATAGACTATTACAAATGACTCGAGTTTCTTATATAGAGCATCTTAAAACATGGGTGGATTACTAAAAACTGACCAAAATTGTAAAAAAAGTACACATTTTATAGCTTAAAATATTAATCTCATTTTTGGACCAAATGACCAAAATACCCTTCAACACTTTTCAACAAATGACAAAACCATCCATCCATGAGGGGCCTCTTGCCCTTGCTACACCTCGAGAACTTTTTCGAACATTTACAGTGGTAATTTGAGAGATCAAACATTGTAGAATTGATATTTGAACTATTGCGCACGTTTTGATATCCTTTGATCGTCTTGAAATAGATTTTTAAGAAAGAACCTAAAATCCGGCCAAGTCTATAAACTTTGTGATTTTTCGACCACTGATCTAGCACGATCCATGGTATTCTGACAAATTGAAGATGATACTATCACGATAATTTTGCGACAAATTTTGTCAATTTTGGTTCTCGTTTTAGCACGTTCCAATTTTGGGAAGTCACTAGAAAATGAGATTCCGACGATCAGAAAAGTATGTCATCTTTGACATCAAAATTTGTTGTCATCCGGCCTTCGATCGTACACAAAATTATATCAAACTATAGCTCTTCAAAGCACGGTAGCAATGGACCCATACTTACGATAATTCGACATTGGGATCTTGAGCCATGATCTTTAAAAGAATTGGATGTTCTTCTTTTTAAAATATGAATTTTCATGTTTCGGGCCCATATTCTCTCTAAAAATTATCTCGTTTCGGGCCACGTCATGATACGTGCCATATATCAAAACGAGCATATCGTCGAGATCTAGCTCCAGTCCAAATTTGAGCTTAATTGGATATAAAACGAGCAAGTTATGAGCATTTGAAAATTACCTCGAAATGCGAAAACATAGTTTTCATAAAATGGAAACTGGTTAACCGAGGTGGCACCGCAATAGTGTAAAACCCACACTTTTATGGTAAGCTAGGCTCAGAATGGTCCCGCAAGGTCTGATTGAGCCGAAATTTGGTACAAGGGTTTTTGATGTTACAGATTCAATGTCTATGGTCTGATACTGTTTTGAGACCCAAAAAATAGGGCTATAGTTATAGGGTCTATTTTTCAGCATGAAAGGAATTGGATTTAAAATCTAAGCTTCGTCCTGATCAACTCGAAGCTTGTCAGATCGCGACAAAACTTTATGGGTTTCCTTTGGGTATCCAAAACTACACTCTCATGCAATTTGAGGCCATTCTGACACGTCTTCAAAGATCGTCCAATATTAGGCTTGTTGCTAGAATGTTCCCATGGTTGTTAGCATCTTGGGTACCGGTGGGACCAGGTTACTACCGGCTCTCTTTTTATTTACCCCAATGATACAAGTACGTCAAAAATGACATATAACAACTTGTCCCATCAAATGCTACTATTCTTCAAGAGAAGCGAGAAGTGTAACATTCGAAACAAAACTTTGCTAAAATTCATCTTTCGAATCCTTATTGAGGCACTTTTATTATCTCCTACATAACTAACCATGGATATCTCTCCCTAAATCATGTAAATCACCCCTTTCCTATGCTTTCCTATCATCTCTCCTCTAGATCATCTTTTTAAAGAACTCTCTAACTCTCACGTGACCAATCCCCCGACCCATCTACTTTTTATTACGTAGTTAATAATGCCCAACAATATAGACAATGACATCCTAGAAACTAGGAAAGCCTCTTGTGCCAATCTTAACCAAACTAAACTCCTTTAAATTTGCCTAAAACATAAAATAAAAATATCTTTTTAACCTTTATATGAATATCTCTCAGAATTAGTCCCAATAATAAATTGAAAAAATAAAAATAAAAAAATTAAACATCTTGAACGCTATTGGCATCAAGAACCTTAATGACACACATTTTTAATAAAATAAGACAAGTACAATTTTTTTTAATAAAATAAGACATCTATTTTTTAATAGAAAATGGGGTGATGTCTCGCGGGATTTGCAGTGTGAACCAGGAAACATAGATGAAGGCTCTGAGGCATACATAGTGCCAATAAGTTAAGTAGACATTATTTGAATAAAATTTGGAGCACAAAATATTTATAAAAACTCGATACATGGTATTGGGCCTCAGCCGAAGCCGAGGAACTCCACCGAGTCGGAGTGTCCTCGGTCAGGTCTTGTCCCTGCTCTTTCTTCCATTTTTCTGATCTTTCAATCTCTTCTTTCTTTTATTTTATGTGGACATTCATTGTATGACATTTTATAATATATTTTAGTAAGTCATCTTTCACAAGTGACCTTTTATAATATAATTTCGTAAGTTATATTTTGCTAAAAAACGAAAATATATAAAAATTTTGTCTTCTATATTAACTTCATTGGAAAAAAAAAAAAAGAAAAGAAAAGAAAGATTGAATTGAAATCTTTATATACTAGAAAAAAAAAAAATGTCTCATATTGAATATAGATCATCCATTTTTGGAGGGATAGACTTCCAAGTCAAAAATCTCAAAATTCAAATTTTTACTTCAAAAATAGTCCTCTAGTGATTCTTAGGTAGTTTCCCAAATTTCAGATTGAAAAAATAATGAAAAGTATGTTTTTTTTAATTCACAATATCCTCTTCGGAGAGCATAGTATATGTACTTCACACTATATCTCAAGAGCAATATAAAAAAATTTACTTGTTTATTTTTCCCCTATTTATTGAGTAGAGGGACTTGGGAGAAGAGGGAGGGAAAATGAAGATGGAGCGGTAATGATTTTAAATATGGTTTTGTCATTTCAACATTGAAAAAGTTCTTACTCATGAAAAATTTGAAATATGGGACGGTCAAATGTTTCCAACATTTAACGACATCTATACACTAGAATTCGTAACTGAACAAAAATTTAAAAAGCTAATTTGATGTCAGCAATATCGAATGAAGGAATATCATAATATACAAAAGAGCAAAAAGAAAAGGACTTGGGCATAAAACTGAGGAGATTTTAGTCCAAGCGATAATTCCACCAAAATACCACCGATTATTTTGCAGGATGTATGTATTTTTTCTTACTAATTGTTTCATCAACTTTTGGAACACTATTTATCTTTTCTACATTGAGATCATAATTATTCCTAGTTATAGATGTCAAATTGAATGGTTTAGGGTGAGTCACAAAGTCCAATTTTTTTTTTGTTGGAACTTTGTTTCTATTTAATGACATTTTGACAACCACCCGTTTTAAAATTTAAGTAACAAAAATGATTACGACCTCCATATAGAAAAGATAAATGGTTTCTTTGGAGACGGTCCCTATCTTTATAGTGAAAGTTTCATTTGATGCATATAGCACGCCCATGTAGGAGCACACTATAAATTTGCTTCCAAGAGGTATTTAAGAATCTTTTCAACTTGAAGTTAAGGATCCACCTCAAAATCACTAAATAATAAGTGAAACTATTGGATCCATGGTGTTCTTAAATACTTAACTATGACTATCCAAAAATGAAAGAGTCCGTACCATTTTTTGAGATTTTTTTTTTTTTTTTTTCTTGCCGGTATTCCCGGGTGCATTTAAAATTTGGAAAAGTTTATTTATGGTAGCAATCTAGTAGTAAAGAATGTTTTGAAGTTGGCAAACTTTCTGATTGATCATTTTGACCTTGAAATATATGAAATAAAGAAGATAAAGAATTTTTAGTCCTTAAATAGTTCATCTTGTAAGAAATTATCTAGAATGTTTATTTTTAATATTTGAAGTGTTTATAGAAATGTTCAATATGCTGTCTTTAAAAGTTTAAATTTCATAATTAGACTTAAACTTGAAATTTCAAGCCATCGTGAGGTCCTAAACACCAAATCTACATTTTTGAAGGTGCAACTTAGTTGTACAATATAAGTTGAGCACCTTCTACAAACCTTGCCCTTAAAATTTAATTCATCAATTAGTTTATTACTCTTTTTGGAAATGTCAAATCCCAATTTTTTTGGGTCGTGGCAATACTTCTTTGTTGGGTGTTATTAAAATGGAAGTGGAATCTTTAGGGCATGTTTGATTGTTGAAGCCCCTTTTCCACAAATACGAATATGGAAGGTGTAGCTTCCATATCCAACAATTTTTCGACATTGTTTATGGAAGCTATCGGAAGCCGCGAATACTAAATTACAGTTTCCAGTGGCACTAATAAATGTTGGCGTGTAATTTGGTGGATCTTGGATTTTCCACTTTCGAAATATGTCACCAAACAAACACGGCGCTTAATCCCTTGCTCGCTTGGGCCTCTACTCAAATCTCAATTCTTTAGGTCGATGGCGAAGTTGTATAAATAGAATTAGAAGCTGGTGGATATTAGAACAATGGATTCGGCCGGACTGCATTTCTATATTATGCGGTCCACATGAATGAAGAATCCATCTTAAAGATATGGATGCAAATAGGTGGATGTGTTATGGGGGTGAGGATTTACTTATTTTGGTATGGCTTTGTCAAACTTTTTTTTTTTTTTTCTAAACGCTAGGATTAAATTGTATTAAAAAAATTTATTTGTATTGGCTAAGCCCGCATTTCTACAATACGCGGGCTGGCCATGCTAACTCTGTAGCTGGGAAGAGCAGTTCAAAGAATCCCGCTCTTTCGGCTCTTTTATTTGATCACGATCCCGGAAAAGAGCAGTTTCAATACCTATGATGAGGCGGTGCAAGCATGTATGGAGTCTTGGAAGAACCATGGAGCTGCCTTCCATGGTGCTGTGAGGGAGAGGATCATGTGGCGTATGGAAGAAGTGGGAGAGGATGAGATCGAGAGGGGAGGCTTGGAGAGAAGGGAAAAGGGAGAGGATGAGAGAGAAAAAGAGGCATCCATCCATCGGGTAAGAGAGAGAATGGGTGAGGAACCAGGCAGTAGCAGGGGGGGAAAGAAGGAGGTGAGATGGAAACTGTTGCCCATGGGTTGGAATTGGTTGGGCGTAAAATGCAGGGATGGTAAATTCGAGGCGGCTGTGTATGATGAAAACTCCCCTTCCAAACTTGCGATAAAGAGTTTCAATACCAGAGTTGAGGCCTCTCGTTTATGTGGGGAGTCTTGGAAGAACCATGAAGATTCCTTCAGACATGCCTTGAGGGAGCGGATCATGTGGCGTATGGAAGAAGTGGGAGAGGGTGAGAGAGAAAGGGGAGGAGTGGAAGAGGATGAGAGAGAAAGTGGAGGAGAAAGAAAGCTTCGAGAGAAGGGAAATGGTAAGCTTGGTCAGAAGGGAGTGGGAGAGGATGAGAGAGAAAGTGGAGGAGAGAGAGAGGTTGGAGAGAATGGAAAGGGAGAGGATGAGAAAGAAAGTGGGGGAGTGAGAGGGCTTGGAGAGAAGGGGAAAGGGGTGAAGAAGAAGAAGGGCCTGTCTCAGAAGATCAAAGATGGCTTCAAGAAGATGTTGGTATGTCTGCATAAACTCATGTATTCCATTTTCTTGTTCCTTTTCTTTGCTTCTCTCTCTCTACCAATCTATCTCTCTCTAGTTATTTGATTGTTCCTACTTCTTTGAACCATCAATTTCTTTTTTTTATTTTTTTTGACAAGTATCATCAATTTCTTTTTTAAGGTTTTCAAGTCTAAAAGGATAAGAAGAAGGACGAGGATTGAGGAAAGAGAAAAGACACATAGAAATATGGAAACTGTATAAGAGAAATGATGATGCCCACCACCATGGTTGCCTGAGATTTAGCTGTCAATCAACTTTGCTTTCGCATTCATTCATATAACTCTTACATGTTCTTTTTCTGTTTTCTATCTTTTTTTTCTTCTTTTTTTTTTTTTTTAATTTTCAAAGCATCAATTTCTGCAGCAGATGTACATAATGCCATTCTTTCATTGTATTTAATGTTTTGGTTTTAATCATTGCAGCAGTTTGCATCAGATTTCAATGTGAGAATGTTCAATAAAATGCTGGTGATTGCTTCATGTTCCCTTGATCTGTATCTGTTGTGGCACTTTCATGCTTGATTCAATGCATATATAATACATGTTTATAATGTTTGGGATATTGCTCTTGGGTCGATCAGGCCATCTGGATTGATGAGTTAATCCTTAGAATGTTCAGGGAAAGTTTTAGGTAATTATTTAATTTTTTTCCTTTTTTACTTTAGGTTTGAAAGTGCAACATGCAAAATGCATATAACACAATAGCAATGTGTGTTTTGGCATGTCAAAAGCCCTACATCAAACCGCACAAAAAAAAATAAAAAAAAATAAAAAAAACTTTTAAACGGCCCAAACACTTTGATTTTTTCTATTTTTTAATTCTTCTTTCGTTCTATGTGGTCAGAGTGTTGATCAAATGCTTAATACGTTTATGTTGTGGGCCATTACAAGATTTATTTTATTTTGAATTTAAAATGTCACACTAATGTTTTGGATGCAGTTTCTATAAGGTTGCAACCTTAAACAATCCAATTAAGGCGCACCTTAAAACTTTATTATAACATGTAATTTTGCTGTAAAAAATACTCCGTATTATCTTAAAATCTATTTTCCTACCTAATTAGAAAATTTTAAATTAAAAAAATGGTTAAAATGAAGTAGATCTATAAATATAGGAAAATCTTGAAAATGGACGGTCTAGATAATGTTTTACAACATACACTATTTTCGAGACTTAAAATCTTTTTTATTCATATTCATGCAGCTCGATGTCGAGATGATCGATTAGAGGGTTTTTTCAACATTAAAACAACATTTCCAATCGATATTTGAGGTGCATATGTGATTCTACATTTTAAGATTGCAACCTTATATAAACTTTTCCCTAATGTTTTTTATCTTTGTGCATTTGGTTATTTGAATGTAAGACTTTCAAATGGGATTATATACAATTAGACCATTTATCAAAAGTAAATGGTTTTAGTATATACCTTTCCCTTCTATATTGTCAAATACTTAAATTATTTACACTTTGGGTGTTTCAAAAGTTGCATTTTGGAATCACCTATCAACTTAATATTTTTTGCGCTTTGGGCAGTCCGAATGTTGGACTTTTTAACCAGGGAAAAATAGGAATTAGAAATGAGTTAATAATGAAAAGTCGAAGCTTAATGCCTTGTTTGTTGTTGGAAAGCAAAAGTGGAATTAAGAAGATTCGCAAAACGAAAGTTTACATGGAGATATTTGGGCATCTTGTTTAGATAATATTTTGTAATGTGTCCAGGAAAACTAGCTTATGTAGTGGTCAAAGAACTATTTTACATAGGTTGATTAGGGAAATCACCATCTCGTAGAAATCCCCCCACAAATAGGGTTAATATCCTAATCACCAATTAGATTAGGACTATTTATTGTATTCCATAGGTTTTATTATAGATGTGACATCTATTGGAAGTTTATATAAAGGAAAAAGCTAACAAATACCGGCAGCTATAATGAATAGTAATATAGATAAAAACCAAGCCGTTGGATCTTTATCGAGTGGTTCAAAATACATATCACTATTTTAATTTTAGATTTTTATAAATCGGATTAAAATAAAATTTTGGGTGTATATACCTAACACTATTGATCACAAATAAAAATATAACTATATTATTTTCAATAATTTAAAATGACCAAATTACATTAATCATTTCATAGGTATTTCCATCATTTTATATTTTGATAAATATTTTTTATATATTTTTTAATTGTGCACCCTATTTTTTAGTACATATGTTTAAAATTTCATTATGATCTGATTTTTAGAAAAAATATTAAAATTCATATAGTGATATGCATTCTGAACCATAAGATGAAGATTTAATGATTATGATTCTACCTATATTACTATTCATTATAGCTGCCAAGTGTTTGGACGGTTTACTCATATATGAATGTATGTGGAGTGAGAAAGAAAAGAGTATTTACACCCTATTTGGAGTCACCATATGGGCAAGGTGGCCTCCTCTAGAGAGAGAGAGCCAATAGTCTCTTACATAGAAAGACAAGGCCTCTAGAAAGAGAGAAGTGATCTTCCTAGAAAGAAACATTGAGATGGTGTCTCTTGGAAATGTAAAAAGCTAGTTTCTTGTGGAGAACCTTTCTATACGGCGATTTTGGATGATATTCCCTTTTAGTAAAAAAAAGTCTTGATTGATCTCAATATTCTCTTCTTGAATAGTGGTTTACCTGTAAAATAAGCTATTTATAATTAGTTTATGAAGGTAGTTTGGAGGGCAAGCTAAAAAATTTGCTTTACTAGGTTTTGCCAAGGATCAGACAGGAAATTACATGTTCCAAACTTTGTGATATAAGTTTCATCGATCTAAGTGGATCTCAAGTTGCCATTCTCTAGATTAAAACCACTTTGGGACTCGTGTACTCATATTATGGTTTCCGTACAACTACTTTGTTTCAAGTCAAGAAAAATGATCTTATTTGGATCCCAATATTAGAGGTTTCTTGCACCTTATGCAAGTAGAAACCACTCAATGACATTGACAAGGGTGATAGAATAGCTAAAGAAGGGATAGATTAAACCTCCTTCTTAACTACTTGGGTTCAACTTTCTAACGTTAAATGTATATTACTCGATTTTTGTAAGGTTCATATGTATAAATGTTCAAACAAGTGTTAAAATTATAATGGGTTATGATAGGGTGGTCACACTATAAGGTAGTTTGTAATTGTGCTCAACCAATTTTGAACATTTATATACCTTTATTTTGTACATAGAGTGGGTGATGTCACACGTCATGTGGATAATGTCTTACCTTTCCTATTATCCAAAAATACCCTTATCAATAAGATACTCCACGTATAAAAGAAAGGTATAGAAGTGTCCAGAATTTATTGCGTACAATTACAAATTGTTGTCTAGTGAGCACCCAAACATAACCCAATTATTTAATTAGTAAATATTCAAACAAGTGTTAATATAAAAAAAAAGCTAATTACCATCCTAGAAAGGTAGACCTCAAAAATTCCAAAATTGTGATTTTAAAAAATACTAGCATTAATTGTCTACACCATTTCAAGTCCAAAAAATGGTGCATATCATAAACATTATCTAGATTACCCATTTTCAAAATTGTCAAGTAATTAAAGATATGCTTGATCTAACCTATTTTAAGAGTATTAAATCTCAATTCCAACGAAAATATCAGTTCTAAGTGAACCAAACACAATTGGCTCATCTTTTTTGGAAACATGACTCTTGAAAATCTGAATCCAATTAGCTAAATGGGTCCTTCGTTGCTACGCTACGTTGGGAGGCATTGAAAGAGAAAAAATATAACAATCATTTTTTCTTTTTAGGGTAATTTAGTGGGGAAGACGGCCCCTACCCATTTTTTTTTATATAGATAGGTAGTTAGACTTTTTGAACGTGGCAGTGGTTAGTGTCGGTAGGATTGGAATCTACAATGTGGTTACAATGTGGTAACTAGGTGTAGGGGAGTTACCACCATGACCGGTCCCTTTCTTAAAATAAGATCATCTTTCAAAACATAAAACACATTTTCTTGCACCCATTTAAAAATCACCTTCCACGTCTCTTGGTCCTTAACAACAAATTTTTTTTTTTTAAAATAATCAAACTCAAATTTAATGTTAGATGTAATTAGCGCATTCATATTGACCTCTTCTTGTATTTGGGAACCACAATAACATTTGGTACTTCAAATTTTTCATAAGCAATTGACATTTGTGCCAATATGAGATATTTGAAGAGATGATGGCAAATTGAGTATTAGTGTTTCTGCAATGTAATAGCCTTAAAATATATTTTCATTTTTAATAGTATTGAGACATGTAGTTTGAATACTATAAATCTTTGTAATAGCCTTAAAATATATTTTTATCTTTAATTATAAAATTTAAAGCTTAAAAAATGATGTAGATCTATGAAAACTTTAAAATATTGAAACTTGACGGTCCAAAAATGCATTACGAGATGCACTATTTCTATATCTTGCAATCCATTTTTTCTTTGATGTCAAGATGATCAATTTGAGGATACTTGGGCATCAAAAGAAACTCTTCTAGTGAAATTTTTGAGGTGGTCCTAATTTGATTGTTTAGAGCCTTAGCTCTATATATTTCATATATATTACATTTGTATATGGCATCAACTTGTTTGGGTGTATTTTCAGATACATCTTGACGACCGTCAGATAATTTCCTTAACAATGAATGGGATGTGTAAAAAGACATTAGAGAGATGCCTGGGTTATTGAATGAGTTAATTCACCATATGTAAGGTTGAATATGTTTTTATGAATGTTTTTTTCTTTTTCTTTTTTTTTGACCAAGATCAATGATATTATTGAATTTTAAGAAAAATAGATTACCATCATAAACTAAAAGGCAAGGAATAGAAGATCCCCCTTTAGCCAAGGCATCAACAATAGTGTTAGCCTCCCTATATACATGAGCAAAAGACACCACTACATGATCAACCGCATCCATCACCTCTAACCATAAAGACCGAAGTATCCACGGAACTTTCCGCTCCTTTTTGCACCATCTTATTACATTTAGAGAATAGCCTTCGACAGTACAGTTAATAGCAAAATTCCTACTTCTAAAAGATGAGACCATACAATAAAGCACTTAGTTCAGCAAGATTAGCTGTTGCAGAACCAATAGCGTCTGCATATGAAAATAAAACATTTCCAAAATAATCTCTCAAAAGGCCACCTATACCTGCCACCCCTAGATTCCCCAAGGAATTTCCATAAAAATTAAGCTTTAAGCTTTCAGAGCATGGAGCAATCCAAATGCTCCTAGGCCTAGTTTTGGCTGAACCGAGAGAGAATAAGTTTTGTAAATTAGCCATAACATCTACCTTGG